CGGGCTGAGGTTTCCATGGTGGCTCCACTCTGCCACTCTTCCCATTGGCCAGGCATCCTGCTTCGGCTTTAGCAACAGAGGCTCAGATATCCATCTCCTTCCTGATTGGCCAGGCTGTGCTGCAGCGCCATGGCAACAGGGGCAGAGAGGGACCAGCTCTGCAGAATGACTTGAGTCACCATCTACCTGGGGTGGAGCTGAGAGCCAGATGCAAAGGGGAACAGGTAGCCCCGACCTCTGCTCACCGTCAGGGGAATCCTCCTCCTTGGTCGAGCAGGGTTTTGGGACGCTGGCAGACATCTCCTCCTCATCTAGTTTATCTTCTATCTTGCAGCATTTTCCCAGCCCTTCTCTTGCCCCAGAGTTCCTATCTCTGCAGAAGAAAAAACAAATCTCTGGCAGTGCCAGAGGTTAATGTATTTGCCCAAAGTCATGCAAGTTGCAAGCCAGTATTTGAACCCGTATTGTGTTGCCTGACTTAAAGGCTTTAGAGGGTCTTGCTAGAAAATCCAGATGTTCTTTTTTTTTTTTAATAGACATTTTTTTTAGATCAGTTTTACAGGTTCACAGCACAATTGAACAGGAGGTGGAGATTTCCAACTGATTGCTTTCAGTTTTAATAGCAATCACCCTTTATTCATCAAACAGCTAACGCTTTCCAAAGCACTCTCCCATGTGAATCATTATCTGATCCTCCCAACAACCCTGTGAGTTTGGTAAGTCAGGGATGAATGACCCATTTTATAGATGAGGACACCAGAGCCCAGAGAGGACAAGTGATTTGTTCCATGTCACACAACATATTGCTGCCACAGCTGGACCACCTAGCCTCCTGAATTCTTGTCAGGGTTCTAACTCCAAATCATTGACTTGCCCATACCAGGGCTGCTCTGAGGGATCCTCTCATCTGTTTAGAGAACAATGTCAAATAAAATCAGGCATTCTAATGTGGACCAAGGCTTTCACACTATAACCCTGGTCCCTGTCACGCAACTCCTAAATGTGGCTCCGGTCCCCGGGAAGGGTCTGTGTTTCACTGCAAACCTTGCTCTGCATGACCCCTGCCCATACATCAATAGGTAAAGCAAAACTTGCAAGCTTAAAACTTGCAAGTTTAATTATGTGCTTGAAGCTGTGCCGACCGTGCAGGATCTCAGAGTCCTCATCACAACCTTAGGCATTAGGTCTTCATTGTCCACCATTTATAGATGCAGAACCTGGTGCTAAGGAAGGTTAGGTGGCAGGCCAAGGCCACACAGATAGCGGAGCGGCCAGGATTCTAACATGAGACTACCTGACTTGAAAGCAGACTGGTTTGAACAGCAGTGATGCATGCTCTGCTCCTGCAGAATGCAGAATGTACCTCAAAGAGGCATCTGAGAGCAGATTCTTTTGCTCTTGGGTGTACATTTTGTCCTCAGTTGAGGCCGTGGCTAGACCTATTTTTTTTTTTTTTTTTTTGGGCACTGGAACAAAGCAGGCTCAGAGGATCTGCTTTGTGTTAGGGATTTAGAAATCCTTGGCCCTCAGGAGTGACTCAGTGTCCCCAGCATTGCCTTCCATTGCCTAGTTTCTCAGCTTTCTGATCCTACAGGAGGGTGTGGCAGGGCTGCTGGTAATTGGCAATAGACACGGAGGAGAGAAAACTCAGAGATCTTCTTGCTTCGAATCTGAGCCCCTGCTGAAAATGAACATTTTGCCAGTTTCCTTTCCGCCCTGCTCAGCTTGGGCTCCCTGAAGTCTCATTCCTGAAACAGGGCCGAGCCACCTGGCTGGGCCTGCCCTCCCAAGGGCACTGTTTTTGGAAGATGACACAGGGTGGACGCTCACGCCTGCCACTCTGCTCTCCTAAGTGCCGCAGCAGCCAGGGGCAGGCACATAATTTTACCACCAACATCATTTTGCAGCATCTTCCCCACGCCAGAGACCATAAAGGTGCTAGGGAAGAGGCAGGGAACAAACCATTAAGACCCTTGCCCTCACAGAACCCACTGCCTAGTAGAGGAGATGGACAATAAGTCCGTGAGTGAATAAATCATGATTTCACACCGTGATAAATGCCTTGGGTAGATGAAACAGGATGATGGGATAGAGAGTGGCTGGCGGTGGGGGCTGGGGCGTGTGCTATTTCAGCCAGGATGGTCAGGAAAGAGAGGACTCTGCGAGGAGGTAATATCCGAGCAGACACCGGACTGAGGAGGAGGCAGTTGTGTCAGTTACCTATGACCATATAACAAACCAAAACTGTGTAACAAACCTCCAAACTTAGTTGCTTACAACCATCTTTGTTTCTCACCAATTTGCAATTGGCCTGGGTGGTTCCTCCGCCCATTTCTCCTGGTTACACATGTGGCTGCGTGTAGCTGGAGGCACAGCTGGGCTGAAATGAGGCCTCACTCTCATTTCTAGTAAATGGTGCTGGCTGATGGCTGGGGCGCCTCGGCTCCCTGTCACAGGCCTCTCATCCTCCAGTCAGCTAGGACAGCTGCCTTACATGGCTGTCTAGGGACAGCATTCCAAGAGGGTGAAGGCAGAATCTCCAAGGCTCTTGAACTCATAAAAGATCACTTCCGTCACATTCTGTTGTCAAAGTAAGTCACAGGGCCAGCCTGGATTCAAAAAAAACCCCCTCTTGATGGGAGGAGTGGGACAAAGCATTTGTGGCTCTCTTTAATGTGGTACAAAACTCCATGGTAAGATCTTTGGCAAGAGTATTCCAGGCAGAAGGAAGAGCAGGTGCAAAGGCCCTGAGGTAGGATGGGGGTCCAGAGACCTGAGCTTTGACCAATAGGTTCTTCCACTTCCTCGGTTTTCTCTTCTGTCAAATGGGAACTAAGGATGACTCCCTGCCTCCTTTATAGGCTCATAGGATATAGGAGGCATTGCTCCAAGTCAGGGTTAGGATTTTGGTTCTTGGCCATTGAGTGTGAGGAGAATCAAACACAGGAATTCAGTCTGGCATCCTCCAAGCTCACTAATGTTTGTGAACCACCATCTGGCAAGAAGGCACAGTGCTGGGCACTGCAGGTCACAGGAAAGTCTGAGGGGTGATGATTTTGCTGAGCTTATGGGCTGAAAAGATTGCTCACTGAGCAAGATGGAGACGGAGCTGGAAGGACTGTGGGCCCCAGGGAAGACCTGGAGGAGGTGGGATTCTAACAGGGCCTTGCAGGGCAATAGAATTTGGCTGAATGAGAGGAAACTGTTGATAGCGGAAGTGGTGGTGGGGGGGCTGCGACATTTAGCAAATCAATGAAACAAATGTTTGCTGAACCTCTAAGTGGCCAGGACAGACAGAGGACCAGCCAAAGGCAGATAGGAACCCAGAGGAGGCACCACCGAGGCCTGCAGAGCCAGGAGGAAAAGGCAGCACTTCAGAGGCCTGAAGGATGAGTCAGGTCAAGCACAGTGGGGCAGAGGGAGGAGTAGGAGGTACCAAGAGGGTCCCAGCAGAAAGAACAGCATCTGCAAAGGCCAGATGGGAGGGAGAGCTTGGGATTCTCATATAAAGGCAAAGAGTCGTGTCTGAAGCAGAGATCATGTGGAAGAGAGGGAGAGGATGAGCTTGGGGCCCAAACAGGCCTTGTGGACCAATGAAAGTCTCTAATCTTTTTCTTGAAGGCAGTTTGCGTAGGATTGCCAGATTTAGCAAATACAAATACAGGTTGTCCTGTTAAGTTTGAATTTCAGAAAAACAACACATAATATTTTTAGTATAATTATGTGCATGCGCTATATGGAACATTCGTATACTAAGAAATTACTTGTTTATCTGAAATTCAGTTTTGACTGGGCCTCCTGTGTTTTCTCTAGCAGTCCTCAGTGTGGGACCACAGAAGGGTTGTAAGCAGGGGATGACATGGTTGGATTTACATTTTGAGAGGCTTCCAGGATTTGTGGGCAACATGCTGGAGGGAGAGAGGAAGGGGTGGAAGATGAGGGTCCTGCTTTGTCTGGGCCAGAGAAGCGCAGGTCCCAGGGAATGGGGACATCTCATCCTGTCGCCTGCTTCCCAGACTGGGCAGGCAACCTTAGGTAAACCCTTCAGCTGATGCAGTCTTGTGTGGGTGACTGCAGGCCAGGTCAGATGCCACCTCTGCTGTGTGAGCACCTGGACTGGTTTGTTCCCTCCTGAGAAGGCACTCAGCATTTGCTGAGGTCTTACTATGTGCTGAGCTGGGTCCTTTATATCAGGGGTCCCCAACCCCCAGGCCGCAGACCAGTACCTGTCCGTGGCCTGTTAGGACCCGGGCCACACAGCAAGAGGTGAGCAGCGGGTGAGTGAAGCTTCATCTGTATTTGCAGCCGCTCCCCAGCGCCAGCATCACCACCTCAGCTCCACCTCAGATCAATCAGGCATTAGATTCTCATAGGAGCTCTGGTCCCTGGTGCCAGAAAGGTTGGAGATCGCTGCTCTGCATTACTTGTCTCATTTAATCCTCACAACAGCCCCTCAAGGAAGGTATTATTATGCCCGTTTTACAGATTAAAGAACTGAGGCTCAGTGGTACAGTTGCTGCCCAGGTCACACAACTGCACAATGCAAATCTGAAGTGGAGTCCAGGTCAGGCTGGCGCCAGGGCTCTGCTCTCCCACTGTCTCCAGGAAGTGTCCCCTGGAAGCCCCTAATCCCCCATACATTTATCACTTGGGCTCGGTCAGCAGTCTCCTTGTCCCACTGTAGGCCCATGCTGCCCTGGCTTTTTCTGAGTTAAGCCAGGAGCTAAAATGGGCCAATGTAATGCTCATCTGCTGGGGGCTTTCCGGTTATGAAGCCCTTTCCCAATGTGCCCTCCTCACGACCCCATGGAGACTGCAGGGCCCCCTCTTCCAGCCGGCAGCTCTGCCGCAGTGAAGGCCACATTAAATATTAACAGGGCAGCTCCTGGCACCGCTGCGATGTATCAATTACTGGGCTGCTTGGTGAGGGCCTCAGCTGCCTTTTCAAGGTGAAGCAGTAACTGGAATTCAGCTGGCTCAAATGGCATCCCCGGAGGCTGTCAGGACTTAGAAGAGCTCCTGCTAATGTAAGGCAGGGCAAGAGTTCTAAAGCTTTCTTCCCATCTCCCCGGCTCCCTCAGGGCCCGGTGGCTTCCTGATGCTGACACAATGCACTCAGTCACTTGGGAAGTATTTATTGAGCTCCTACTGTATGCCAAGCAAAGTGCTAGGCTCTGGAGATACAGCTGTGAGCGTGATAAGGTCCCCGCATCACGGGACTCCCTGTCTGGTGGAGGAGATGAAGAAACAGTCTCAATGCACAAGGGGAAAATCCAGCACTGTGCCCGCCCAGCCTGAGGTGGAGGGGTCCTTCAAAAGGAAAGAGCTCGAGTTAGGTATGGGAAGAGGAGGGGGAAGTGTTTCAGGCAGAGGGAACGGGATTAGAGCTCAGATTGTGGTTCTACCCCTTCCTAGCCATTAATCTGCAAATTGGGCCCCCACCTCCCCTCCCAGGGTTGATGAGGACTAAGTGAAGCCATGGCTAGTGAGCACACAGGGCTTGATGCACAGTGAGAGTTGGGTTTTGGGGGGAGCTGTTATGAAAACAGTTCTGTGCTTTTACATAATTCCTTCGCTCTGCCAGGAATTCCTCCCCCTGCCCCCCCCGGCCCCAATTTGGTGAGCAGAGAAACCGAGGCTTATAGAGGTGACCTGACATGCCCAGGGTTAAACTGTGGATTAGACCCCAGGCTGGACTATGACCCTAGGCTCTGACTTGGGCTTTTGGTCCTTCTTCAGCTATAGACAACCCAAGCAGTTGTCTCAGCTCAGAGAGACACAGAATCTTATCAGCAAGCCCAGTGCGAGGTCCTCAGCTGTCCAAGGGCGAGCCCAGGCCTTAGCTTTGGGAGGCCTAGGCATAGATCTGGTTCTGCAGCTAACCTGCTGTGTGACTATGAGGGAATTACTTTCCCTCTCTCGGCCTCAGTCCCCCATAGTTAATCCTAATACCAACTGTCATTGCCTGAGTCTCTGATCCTCCCAATGGAGTTGTAGCAAAAGAACAATTTTATTTTTAATCTTCTCTTTTTATATATTTTCTTTTTTAAAAAAATTGTTAGACATTTACATAATTTATGAAGCAATCTCCCTGATTACTCTAGCAAAAGAACAATTTTTGATTCCATATTGAAAATGAGGAACCAGGCTGAGAGGGGCAAAATGATATGCACAAACCTACACAGCAAGTGGGGGCAAAATTTGGAGCCAGGCCCAGCTGCCAGCAGAGCTGGCTATCAGTCCACCATGCTGTGCTATCAGAATAGGAAAAGCCAGGCTGAGTTGTCCCCAAGATCCTTATTATCAGTCTGTGATTTTCGAGTTCCCTGCTGCCCCCAGGCCTTCAAGACCCCGTGATGTCATGGGAAGGGCATTTCAGGTTGGGTTAATCCTCTAACTGTCTCCATTAAGGGAGGTGACGGCACTGTCACAAGTGCCCAGTAGGCAGCACCGAGGCTCTCTTTCAGCCACAACCTCACTCCTCCTGGCAGCAGCCCAGGGCGTCTAGCGAGAACAGCAAGCGCTGTTGCAACGTGCCCATTTTATGGACGAGGATTTTATGGATGAGAAAACTGAAGCTCAGAGAGGTTCAGCACTTGTCCAGGCTTCCCCAGCTACCGCGGAAAACCTGGGATTTGGAGAGGGTCTGAGCAAGGCGGCCAAATTCGACCTGGAGCCCTCCTTCTCCTTTTAGCCCCTCTCGGCTCCTGCAATTTTGCCTTCCTCCCCCTTGCTCCCTCCCTTGTCTCATCTGCCACTCAGCTGTCAATCAGTTAGATGTTGGCCGATTTAAAATGTTCCCGAGTCTATAGCCATGCCACCCTGAACGCGCCAAACTCATCTATTCTTGGAAGCTAAGCAGGGTCGGGCCTGGTTAGTACTTGGATGGGAGACCAGCTAGGAATACTGGGTGCTGTAGGCGCTTAAAAAAAATGTTCCCCTAAAAGACCTGGGCCCCTGACAAAGAGGGCTCTAGTGATGGCATTTCTGCAATATGCACAAAGTTGTGATCAGATACAATTTGGCATCCACAGAGAGGTTCCCCCAGGGGCTCGGATGATGAAGAAACACAGGCCCTATCCTCTGGTGTTCACATTCTACAAGGGAAACGGCAACTTTCTAAGGAAGCGGGAAGCAGGTGGTATAAGTGACAATGAGTATAAACTTTATAGTCAGAAAAACCTGGGTTCAAATCCTGACTCTGCCTCTTCTAGCTTCATGACTTTGGGTAAGCGAGCTTTCATTTCCTCCTCTGTTGAATGGGTATGAGAGGAATCCCTACCTGGTAGTGGTCATGAAGAGTAAATGAGATCATATATTAGATAAACTTGCATAGCATAGGCTTGATGCCTAGGAGCTGGCCAGTAAACAGCAGTCCCACCAAAAGAACTCTATGCAGATGATGGATACGAGAGTCATGGTGGGAGTGGGCAGAAGGAGAAAGTGCTTCTTGATGGAGAACTGGAAAGGCTCCTTAGAGGAGGTAAGATTAAAGAACTTACAAAGCAGAGAAAGAGGTGGAGGAATCAGAAAGAACATTCTAGTTGGTAGAAACACGTGGGTGGTATCTGGGAACCTGGTAGGCCTAGGATGTCCACGGAGTGGGTGATAGGCTTGTAAAGGTGGGCCAGGTCAGGTTACAAAGGGGGCAGGGGTCCTACCTATGACCCCAGCGGCAGCTCAGTGCTGTGTCTGCGGAGGCCAGCACCCTGGAGTCAGCTGTGGCTTTGGTCCTCCCAGATCCCGTTGTTTCCAGAGTTGGGGCCAGCCTGCCACTGTTGTCTGGAAGACAGAAGGCTGTAACAATCTGCTTACCTCCTACTAACATACTGGGAGGAAGAGATGTTTTTTCACACAGTCGTCTGGCAGGGAACCTTGATGAAAACTCAGTGACCCTCTCCCTTACTTCCCAGAGTTTAAGCAGCAGGTGATGACAATTATGCTCACAGCCCAACAACCAAAAGAATGTCTCGGGCTCTCAGAAAGTCAGAGGCATCAGTGGAAAGAATGATAAAGGTGGAGCAGGTCTGGATCCTGGTTCCTGCCCTCTGCTCTTTCTCTGCTGCAGCTGGGCAAGACTCTTAACTTCCCTGGGCCTCTGTTTTCTCATCTGTGAGACTGAGCGCACTAGCAAACTGCTGCCCACGACCTTCTTTGCAGTCAGTCGGTACTTGTTACCTTCCTCCACTCTGTGTACTGATGTCGTCCAAACTCTGGCCCTGTGAAGCACTTCTGCTCACCCTCTTGATTTTGCTGACCTGTCTAGGGTGAAATACCTTACACCTTCAGAGCTGGAAAAAAGAACGAACTCTGCCATCCACCTGTGCAGCCTCCCATGTCACGGATAAGAAACCTAAAGTTCAAAGAGGGACAAGTCACGGCACTCTCAGGCTCTGTCCTCCGGCTTTCCTGCATCACTCAGCCCCTCCCACCTAGGCCCACCTCCTGGGAACCACACGGAAGCTTGAGGCAATTATCCAGCCGGTTCCAGCCAAAAGATCTGGAAAATTCTGGCTAAGAAACACAAGCTCCTTGACCATCTGCAGAACTTAAACAAAAGCCTTTTTCACCCACATTTTAACTGCGATTCCACAGCTTCGCCTTCTCCCCCAGAGCTGAGCTCCTCTCCTCTGAACAAGCTTGAGGGGGGCGGGGCCGGTGCTGAAAATGGGGCTCTAAGCTCCACCAGCTCACAGATTGCAGCTACCAGGACGTTTTCTCACTTCTTAATGTCAAAAGCTGCCTTGGGAGCTGATCTACTCCCCAAGTGGGCTTCGAAAGAATGGCAGAAGGTTCTGGATTATCCTGAAATCTGCTGTACTGAGCTCCTCTGAACAAGCTTGAGGGGGGCGGGGCCGGTGCTGAAAATGGGGCTCTAAGCTCCACCAGCTCACAGATTGCAGCTACCAGGACGTTTTCTCACTTCTTAATGTCAAAAGCTGCCTTGGGAGCTGATCTACTCCCCAAGTGGGCTTCGAAAGAATGGCAGAAGGTTCTGGATTATCCTGAAATCTGCTGTGCTCAGGCAGGAAGTGGGCATGGGTTGGGGGGCTGCGGGTGACTGTCTTGACCACTGAGCAAGTGCCTGACCCTTCTAGGTCTCATCTTCCTCCTCCATATAATGGGGATAACAACCTCCTTCCAAGAGTTGTGAGGATTTGGTGAGATAATATCTGAGAGTAAAGTGTTTCTCCTCAAGTCAGGCAGAGGGCCAGCGATCAATCACTTAGCGCTGCTGTTGATGGTGGTCTTATCATTGGCTCAGGATCAGCAAGGTCACCTGGGCAGCAGGAGACCTGCGTTTAGGAAAAAAAAATTAAAATCCTATCTGGGTGACACCAATCTATGGGCAAGCGGCCCCTCCTGCTTAAGATGGTAACCATGCCAACAGTGAGAACGCCATCTCTTCCAGAGCAATACCAGGTCTTCTCTGTAATATGTCCCTTGATGTCTAGACTTCTAAGGGAGCTCAGAGTGTCCCAGAGTACCCGAGAGGAAAAACAGGACGTGCCTTTTCTGGGTCATCTATTCACTGAGCTCTGGCAGAGAGTTTTGGCGATGCTTTCTTTGGAAATCCAGTCCTGCTTGAGGAGCTGTCATTACCACTGGCTCAGGGTGGGACACGGCAAGGAGTTATTATATATCTGTGATGGCTGGTGCCTCCTATGTGCTGGCTCCATGCGGGTGCAGTGCAAACATGCTCTTGCTGATCTCCAACCCTAAGAAACAGGTGTGGTTTGTCCTGTTTTACAAGTGGCTTGCCCAGAGGTACTGAGCTGGGAACTGGCAGAGCAGGTTTCGAACCCAAGTCCAGATCCTTCTCCCCCATCACACCATGCACATGTCCTCAGGCAGCCAGGGGACTTTGCTCTGTTCCCTGAATGAAACCAGTACCAGGTGAAGACGCAAGAGACCTGGCCCTGGCCCTCGGGACCGGCTCGGAGCTCTGGGCCAATGCAGTGTGTCTGACCTTAATCCTCAGCCCTTCACTTGGCTCAGGGACTCTCTTTGGAGTTGTTCAAAGGCCATATTTTTAATTTTAATTTAATTTAATTTAATTAGTTTCAAGTATACAGTACATTGGTTAGACATTTATATAGTTTATAAAATGATCCCCCTAATTGCTTTCTCTCTCCTCCAGCTCTTCACCTAGCCATTACATTAATGCTAACTGCATTCCCTATGCCGTGCTCCCCATCCCCATGACCATCTATCAACTACTAATTTGTGCTTCTTTAAGCCTTCACCCCATTCTCCTAGCCCCTATATATTGTCCTCTATATTTGTGAGTCTATTTTTGATTAGTTCATTCTTTTTATTCCTTAGATCCCTCATGTAAGTGAAATCATATGGTATTTATCTTTCTCTGACTTATTTCACTCAGCATAATAACCCCTAGGTCCATCCATGTCATTAAAAATGGTAGGATTTCATTTTTTTAATGGCTGAGTAATATTCCATTGTATATATGAACCATAACTTCTTTATCCAGTCATCTGTTGATGGGCATCTGTTGATTAGGGTGCACAGAATTATTGTTTTGATTTTCTTTGGATAAATACCCAGGGGTGCACAGAATTATTGTTTCGATTTTCTTTGGATAAATACCCAGAAGCACAATTGCTGGGTCAAAAGCTTTATCCATTTCTAATTTTCTGAGAAACCTCCAGACTATTTTCCATAGTGGCTGCACCAACACCAACACTATATGAAAGTTCCCTTTTCTCCACATCCTCACCAACACTGTTGTTCTTAGATTTGTTGATGATAGCCATTCTGACAGGTATAAGGTGATATCTCATTGTGGTTTTAATTTGCATTTCTCTGATGATTAGTGACCTAGAGCATCTTTCATATGTCTATTGGCCATCTGTATTTCCTTTTTGGAGAACTATCTGTTTGGGTCTTCTGCCCATTTTTTAATCGGATTATTTTTTGTTGTTGTTGTTGACAAAGGCCATGTTCTTGATGGGACTTAGAACCCTGGGAGTAGGTGACTTGTCCACCGTGGTTGTCCTGGTCTTTATCTATGAGGCTTTGGGGAGTTGACAGCTCTCTGCCAGCGGTGAAGATGGGTGCTGTAGGAAGAGGGGAGGCTTGTGTGTACTTCTCACAATTTGAATGCCTGCCCCCCACCAAGAGGAGTCACACCTTGACCCCTTTTCAGTTAACATCACAGGGCAGGGTGGGGCCATCAGTTGTGGGCATCTGACAGACCCAAGTTTGAATCCTGGCACTATTGATTACCAGCTGTGTGACTTTATTCAAGTCATGGAACATCTTCAAGACAGTTTCCTCGTCTGTGAGATGGGAATGGAAAATACCTACCTTACAGGGGTATCTTGAGGGGAAAAAATGCATTCATTTTTGCAAATCTTCTTGCCCAGTGCTGGGAACGATAGACATTCCCTTCCCCTCAAGAGTGGGGGTGGATGAGGTCATCCAGGATAGGGCAGGAAGAGAAGAGGGCCTGGGGCAGAGCCCTGAGGGACCCTAGCATTCAGGGTAGGCCGAGAGGACAAGCCCACATAGGAGACAGAAGAGGAGCAGCCAGAGCAGCAGAGGGAAGCCAGGAGAGTGCAGGGTCATGAAAGCTAAGAGAGGCAGGAAGGTGAGGACTAGGAACTGACCTTGGATTTGACAGGAGGTGACTGGTGGCCACAGTGAGGGCCATCACGGTGGAGAAGTGGGGCAGAGCCAGAGTACACTGGGCTGAGGGGTGGGTGAGGAAGTAGAGACAGTGATGTTTGGTGAGAAGAAAGTTTTGTGGGAGAACCAAATCGTCCCCCATTGGATGGGTAAGAATGTCAAAATCAATTAGAATTGAATTTGATTAGAATGCTCCAATCTATCTAATTTTCATTGTTTTGAAATCAGTCTTAGTCTAACACGATCGGAAAAGCTGGAAGGGCTCTAACTCTCCTAACCCGTGGAGGTCCCCCTGGCCGCTGGCTCTCCTTCCACCTCTCACTGGAACCCTATCCTCATGGAGGGCAGGGTTGGTGGGTGACAGTTATTATCTATCAGGTTCTTTAAAGATACTCACCAGGGGAAACATCAGCCTGGTTTGTTAACCTCGATTCCATTTGTAGTTAGCAAAGGTGGCTCTTCAAAGCATGGTGAAGCCTGGGGTGGAGGCCTCCTCCCATACCTACACTCAAATCCTGTTTTGTGGGTACGGAGGTCCTCATCTGAGCATCACAGTGGGGAGAAGAAGGCCTGGGAAGCAGGAGACCTGGTATGGAGGCCTCAGTGCTGCTCACTCGCTGTGCAAACTGGGGCCAGCCTCTCTGACTTCTCATATATCAGTTTCCCCTTATGCAGGATAAAGGGTTAGACAGCCGTGACTTCTAAGGGTCCTGCCAGCTTTCACATTTCAGAATTTCTATTCTACAGTGCTTTTAACAGTTTTTCTAGTCCAATTTCCAGATGGTAAAACTAAGGTCCAGAAAAGACCCGCTCTCCAGTTCTTCCTTTCTCCCTTCTAATGTATCTTACTCACCAGAGCAAGATTCCTGATCTGAAATATGGCTTCCACATCTCTGGTGGTTCCCCGATACCTAAGGACAATGCCTCAAATCTTCCTCCTGTCATTTAAATACTGTAATCTTGTTTTACCCAACCTCATTTCCCACCAGGTCTTTCATCTCACCATTTTGTTTCTATCCTCACTGACAAGCCTTTGCCCATACTGAATCCCAACTCAATACCTTTTCTCTGACTGTCAAATCCTTCTAGGTCCAGCTTACCTGCTCTTGTGTATTTAAATTTTAGCTTCTGAGGCAGAGCGGTGTCTTATTCTGTTGCTACTCCTTCCCTCAATGCTGAGCATACAGTAGGTGCACATTAAAATTCTCAACCTAAGGCCCCTCATCCTGTGCTTCCCTTGACATTTACTTAAGTCAGAGGCTGTTTTAGTCATTGGGATTTTCCTAGCTTGTCCAGGGTCCAGCCCAGGACCTGCCACGCGGTACCCGCAGCATCAAATGCCAGGACTGAAATGGGCTTAGTGACCAGCGAGCGGGTCCACCCCCCTTTTTTGCCACAGAAGGAAGCCCAGGCTGAGTTTGAATTCAAATCCTGGTCCCAACACTTACAGGCTATGTAACCTTGAGCAAGTCACTAACCTGGCTTTGAAAAGTGGGGAGACCAGCTCTGCCCACCTGCTGGGTGGGTTGTGAGGATTAATTAGGATTATACCTGTAAGAGGCATAGATAGCACTGGGTCGGCTCCTTGTAGGTGTGTCATAAATTTTACAGTTCCAGCCAGGCCACCCAGTCCCTCCTCTCAAGGAAGGCTCAGTATGCTCAAGGCCACTTATCAGGGTGGGGCGGTGAGCGAATGTATGTGTGTGTGTGGCGGGCGAGGGGGGGGGTGCCTGTCTCCAACGGCCGGACCGAATCTTGCCCGGGCCAGGGCAGACCCAAGCGCAGGGTGTGGCCCAGCGGAGCCCATCGGCCGAGGTGG